CAGAACCGTACCGCCGCCGCCAACGCGTGGAATTTCACGTTCACGGTATCCGAGTACCAAGCCAATTTCGACGAGGTCGAATTAAGGGAACTTTGGGCATAACAGGATCCAAAAATCGAGCTTTCCTGCATATTTCGATAGCACGATCTTTCAAGAATTTGTTTTGAAAATTACGGTACATTTCAGAGTTCCAAACGTGTCCAATCGTATTTTAGTACTTCACAAAGATTCGACTATGATGTGGAATTAATGATTTGTAATTCGAGAAACATCGAGTTATGGTTAGAAATGGCCGAGGGCTGTTATCGTTCGTTGATGAGGCTGGCTGAAATTCGGGGCGCTCCTAACAGTTGCCTATCCAATGAATTCTTTGTCGACGTGTTCACATTGTGCGCTATCCGCGTGGAAGCCCGATAACGTATCACCTGGCACGAATTTTCATACAGTTCTGCTATCTACTCAAATTCATATATGGCGCGCAACGTAGCAGAAAGTTGCTATTGTTTCCCCCGTTCAGCATTGTCGTTGACTCTCCAACTACCTTTCGACACTCTGCTACTAAAATTCTTTTTATTTTTCCTTGCCGTTCATTCTATTTATCCCGGGAAAATTTAACGGACAAAAATAAATTTATTCGACGAGACATCCTTTCTCAAACTAAAGAGAATGTTCTTCCATTGGTGCAGTAATTCTAAAATTATAATTTAGTAATATTGTTGCACGAAAATGAACGGTTTGAGAAAATGTGTCAATCAAAATAAATTTGATTGAGTTTATTTGACATCCGTTAGTATAGCCAATAACCAATACACGGATCATCGAAGTCTGATTTATTAATCGGTTGGTTCGGGGTTCGTTAATAATGTATGGATCGTACCTGGAAGCTTCAACGAATAATCATAATTTATACGTCATCATCCGCCAGTTGTAGGTCAAACTCGCGTGCAATATTCGCTGAAATCTGTAATAGAATTTCTCTATCGAACTAGCCCGGCTATGATTCGTCGTTAAACAATGATTTTCGTTGATTTCGAGCGATCCAGGTGCGCGCGACCGCACGATTAACATTATGGAAATGGCCAGTCCGCGTTTAAAATTCACGAAGCGCTGAAAAGGTTGCGAGGAAGCGCTGAACGTTTGAAAATTTAATATCCATGGTCAGCGCGTTGTCAAATCGCCGGGTAAAGAGATTGCGTCGCGATTAGCTTTGTACGCTGAATGTCGTTTAATAATTATGATTATCCACGTAATTTTAAAACGTCCTTGCCCGTTTCTCGATTCCGATTCTCCTTAAGAAGCGGAAATTCATATTATCGCGAGCCACTAGTTTCCACTTTTTGTATTTAAATACTAATAATAATGGGTTGAAATGTATTTGGTTCGTGATTTGAGAGTTTTTTAGATGTTTATTTTTCAACAATAATAAAGTGGACTGTATAAATGTGTTATTGAGCGCGATTAACTATACGAGGAACTGTTCCCCCGTTCTACTTTAACAAATGCGTTCAAACTTTTCGGAGACAAGTTAAGAGACTTGTTCTCTTGAAGGATAAACTAAGAGTTGTTCGATCAAAAGACAAGTTAAGAGTGGGAGTGTTCGTCTCTCAGAAACCAAGCTAAGAGAGTTGTTCTCTCAAAAGGCAAACTCGGAGTGATTGTCGTATCCGGAGTCCGTTTCCTCCTCAGATTAGGTCCCCACCAAGAGGTGGTTTGGGGGTGGTTTTCAGATTCCTCTGTGAGGACCCATTTTCCTGCCCCATTTCGACAGGAAACTCCTCCTTCACCTCGATGGTGGAGGAAAGTCCCAGGCCACCCTGGCGAGGGTGGACGAGGTTTCCTTCCCAAGTCGAACGCCGCGTTAATTTACCTAGGAAGACACGGAACTCCGGATTATCAACGCAACAAGAAGTTGCGTCTGGTTTGCAGCTGCTTTATGGCCATATTGTTCCGCGTGTTAGCGATGGCCGTTGTTGTAGGTGCCTACATTTGGCCTACATACAGCCCTTCGCTGGTCAACTCGAGTGTAGCATTTCTTTCATTTGCCAAAATTCTTTTCTTTTACATTGAAATTTTCCAGTCGCGGGAGACTCGAAGACCTTCGCAACGTAGTAAACGACCGGAAACAACTCGAGTTGGCCAGCGAAATGTGTGTATTTCGTTTACCGAGCAAATAATATTTTAATTAACCTCCTAACATTTCTCAAACATTCGAATCGTCAAAAATCATAATATATGGTTTCATCCCTTGCAGATTGCTCATACCAGAGAATCGAGGACAAAGGAAATGAATAAAAACGCCTCGTTGAAAGACACTCTAGTGCTTCGCGTTTCGCATATCTGATTTAGAGAATACAGTTCTAAAAGGTGACCGCGGATTTTGCGGCCGCCTGACTCCAAATTCGACCGAGTAATCAACAATAATTGCTCGTTGAAACAGAGAGTGACGAAAACTCGGTGACACGACCGATCCTCGTTCGGCTGTGGTCGAAATTGTCGAGCGCGTGGGAGTTTACTTTAAATACCTGGATACTCCGGTGAACGCGGATTTTCCTCGGGAATGGAAGCTGACAGAACCATTCGAATCCTTTGCACGGTTTGTCGCTTGATCGCCGAAACGATTAATTAGTCGTTTTCCGAGCGATCGGTTTCGTTTACCCATTTCACTATCGGTTCGATTCGTTTCCTGAGCACTCGAACGACAAAGGATAATTTCCAATTAAACCGATGTAAAAAGAAATTAATCCGCGGCCATTAAAGGAGTACCGATTCTCCGTCTCCTCTCGTTGCGATCGCTACTCGTCGAGGCAAACGAGCTTCGGTAAATTATAATAATTGCAGTGTCTTTTCCATTTTCTGATTTAAATTAAATTGCTTGAAATTATTTAATACCATTTTCAAAATTATAGTCTTTAAATTGTTTCATAAAATAACGAAAAATTCGAGTATACTATTAAAGACTGTAGACGCTCGGTTCGACTGATTTCATTTTGTTTTCGTATCCCGTCGAACGAAAGAATTGTTCTTTCTACGCCGTTGCGTTCGTTTCGATCGTTTCACGATTAATCGACTTCGAAACACGCGTGTTTGATGAATTAATTGGCTGCGAAGTTTCACGGCGATCGTGTTTACGCGACGTCCGAGGGATTCGATTTTAATTTCGCCTAACGAGATCATCCCTTCTTTGCCGTTCAGTAATTCGTAGAAGCGACGTAATAACGCGTGACAGTGCATTTTGTAGCGAAGAACGAACGGTTGAATAATGGATGGCCCTACGCGTGCTTCGCTCTTTTAAATAACAGTCCAACGTAAAATAAAACGCTACCCGGTGCGCTTTTGCCATAGGGTGCAACTATGTTACTTGGTTATCGCGTGGAGATCGATAATTCAAATGACGTCCCGTCCTAGCTGCATTTTCATCGCCCTTCTAGCCGAACGATCCATCCTACTCTGATGGACGATACGATCCCTTGATCCTTTAATTTCTTACGGTTGACAAACATTTTTCTTAATCTGGTTAAACTTGTACTTTTTCTGTCAATTAGAATCGTGGTTTATCACGTATTTAACACGTTCGCGGACACGAATGCTACAACATCCAAATTTTTACAGTTCAAATTCTATACAGTTCTTATTTTTTGAAATTAATATGCACTTCTATGCAATGGCTAAAGATTATGTAGAATGTTCAGCCAAACCTGGGAAAAATTTTAATGGGAGATTCTAGAAGCCAAAATAAGATGAAATTCAAGGATACTAATTTGTTGATTGAGGCTTCGTTAAAAAGTTATAGAAACATTTCCAGCCACACAGTATATTTTCGGTAAAGAATTTTTTTCTCGAAAGTACGTAGGAATTCGTGTGTATGTGTATTCACCAAAAATGATTGTAATTGGCTCCCACATCTGAAAATAATTTTTTCAGAATGATTTGAAAATTTTTAATTTTGTTGACTTTATCCACCTACTCGAATATTTTTCTCGAAACTGAGTAGGATTGCGGGTGTGTGTCTATTGACCAAAAATGATTGTAATTGAACCTCGCAAACGAAAATATTTTTTTTAGAACGATTTGAAATTTTTGTTTTTCGAAGTAAAATATTCCTGGTCAGACATTATATTTTCAGCAATGAATTTTTTTCTCGGAACCGAATAGGATTTCGGGGTTGTATCTATTGGCCAACAATGATTGTAATTGAACCCTGCAACCGAATTTTTTTTTTAGAATGATTTGTAATTTTTTTTTCGCTGACAAATTTCAGCACTTACTCGAATTTTTTATTCGGAAATGCGTGGGATTTTAGGGGTATATCATTGACCAAAAATGATTGTAATTGACCCCCGCAGCTAAAAATAATTTTTTCAGAACGATTTGAAAAAATTTTTTGTCGACGAAAAGTGTTGACACGAATTCGAATTTTTTCTCGAAACTGAGTAGAATTTCGGGGGTGTATCTATTGACCAAAAATGATTGTAATTGACCCCCGCAATCGAAAATAATTTTTCCGTGAATGATTTGAAATTTTTTAATTTAATTTTTTAACGATGCCTCAATCAACTGTATAACACTCATTTTCGTTGAGATGCAAAATGAATGCTATACCATACAAATTTATAAGCCACTTTATTATGAATTCAATTCTCTATAGTTTATATTTTTTGAAATTATTATGCACTTCAATGTAATGGCCGGAGAATATATCACCCGTCCATTTATGCAATTCATTAAAATTTCTACCATTCGCGAACGTGTTAAAATAACTGTAACTCTGGACTTCGGTGTCTCGAATCTTTTTTTTAACGTACTGAAAGAAAGAATCATCCGACAGAGCTTGGAATGATATTTGGTAGTTACGAAATGGAACCTTTTCGCTGAAATTACACTACCCTTAGCGAACGCCCTAACAATTGTACGGGGAGAATTCTCTTGCGTGCAACATTTTGCCCTCCCCTGCTCGCGATGGCGAGTTTCTAAGGGGAAGTTGGCGAGAAAATAGTCCTTACCTGATGACTCCTTCGACTGGCGCGAAGACTGAGCCTGTGGCTCCACTCGTGCTTCGGGAATTCCACGCCGTATTTCTCCATGTCGGCTTGTCTCCCTTTCTGTCGCTGGTTTAAAGCCCTTCGGGGCAATGGAACTCCGTTGTCCGCTACTTCATGTTCCCCCTGCCAAGCAGAAAAATATTTTCAGGCTTCTTTCTTTCACGACGTTGCCTCGTGCTAGCTTCTTCTGTTTTTTCCCTCCCTATTTCCCCCCCCACCCCCGAAGAAAAGTACGATTTCGTCGTGGAACGGCGACGAGGGGATCATGATTCGTTTCCATTCGACGCGACGAAGCTTTTCTCTGGTTTAATTAGCCCCAACTAGCCGCCAATTAAAATTCGCGCTGGTACGAGAATTTCATAAATTGGATCGTTCGAACGGTGAAATTGTGACGTTGGAGGCACTCGAAATCCCCATTGGTTAAAAAAATGTTTTTATTCGTTGACGAGCGTTGAAAAATGACAAGAAGTTTAATATTCCCGTTCAAAGGAATAATAAACTATCTAATGTGGTTCTCGAGTGAATTTAAATTTGTGTGATAGAAATGAAAAACGATAAAAGACATAACCGAGACGTCTATGAGTTACACGATATGGTTAAAAGTGGTTGATTGCGTGTGGTCTAGCTGATAATAACTCGAACCGCAAACGGTTAATTGATCTGGAGCAGAGGGGTTGAAGTTATTTCATTATAACATCGAGAAGAGTCGAGCAGTAATTGATTACTTTTTCGCTTCAATAATAAAAGTTCCGTGTTTGATTAATGATAACAATAGCAACGATTAATCAGTTAATCACACGTGAAATTAGTCAGCAATAATATCCATGATTTGTAATCGTTTAACAAAATACAATTTTTCTTGTTTCCCTTTAAGTTTCTGATTATTAATTCGTTATAATAATCATGGCTAGTGGTCGTATACGCTTCGATTAATATTATTTAGTTAATTACATTTGTAGAGTCGTTTCATTATTTTCTAAATTTCTAAAATTCTGTTAATAGTCGAAGGGGTTTGAAGCACAGTGGCTGTGTAGGACCTTGATATCACTCGTTTATTTTTTATTATTTGTCGAGGAAGGTATCGATTGTCTTTTGGATGACAGACAACTATGTATAAAATTTTGTCAGAATTTCGACGATTAAATAATACGTTTCCACTCTCCTTTTGTGTGACTTTGAGAAACGGCTCGAGGGCAACAGAGGAGAAACGTTATTATTACTTTCATTTCTTTGCTGCCACTAATTGGCCCAAACGACAGACTATAAGCCCCAATTACGTACCACCCACCCCACGTTTTACATAGTTTCTTACAAATGATGGTATTGATTCTTATTCACCCTCGAATGCATCGAGCCATCTTAAACGCGATTCCCCGATAAAATTCTGTCCACATATTTTGCTGTGATCGGTATCGTAAATCTCGACCGAGTTTATTTGACGAATCTTTTCTTTTTATTCGAATCCCTGCCAGTAACAGGAGCCCGGGGGATGAAAAATTGATATCGTGAGAACGGTTGACGAAAGTGAAACTAAAGTCTGTGTGCACGAGCGTAGGGTCGTTGTCTACGAAGATCGATTCAAGGCTAGCTACGGGCATCAATTTTTAACGTGACTCCGTTACTTCCGACGCTATTTGCGAACGTTTCAGTCATAGACCTTAATCGATTTCCGAAACAATGAATGTAAAACCAGAAGAATATTTATTTTATCGAAATCAGTCACCGTGCAAATTCGTCGCGTAATTTTTGAACTGCGGATTCAACGAATCCCTAGCATTAGAATTAATCCTTGAAGATAAATCACCGTAATGGAAGTGGGACAAGGGTAACTATGGTAGATCATTTTTACTGTGTGTCTGGTGGCCAGCGGAACGTTAATAAAGAAAGATAATAAAGTACAGTACCTTCGTCTTACATAGTGGACTTCAAAGGGGAAATAAAAATAGAATCTCGTCGAACTCCGGTCATTTATATACTAAAAATTTCGATATTTAGTCGCGTAAGGGCGAGAAACTAGTCGAAGCTGCCGGTGGCGCCGCGAGTAAAATACTCGTAGGGACAACGAACGACCCTGGAGGGAATTCTCCGCGGGGCCAGGGACTCGATCAGTCACGGAACAGAGGAAAAAAAGGATATTCGATATCGAGTGGCGGAGGCGAGTCGTTTCTCGAGAGTCTTGGAGGGCCATCTAAAGATTCCAATTTGTCCTTCGTTGCTCGCGCGTTTGACGACAGTCCCCGGGAAAGCCAAGAGAAAAAAGAAAGAGAAGACAAAAATGAGGATCCATCGGGAAGATCGCGAACACTCGACGCTTGACCTTTCGTCGTTGATTCAATTCTAGCGACGAATACACTGCGGCTGGATCACTGTTATTCGACCGAACATCCCAGAGAGAAAAAGCAACGCGCCAAGATGGACGAAACTCTTAACCCTGAACGGTGCAAATCGATTTCGTTCCTTACCTCCCGTTCCCTCCTCGAATCGCTCGTTATTCAAATTAAAAGTGTTTCCTTTGCTACCCAGATATTTACTGGTCTCGGAATTCTTTTGAGAATACAATTAAATAACAGCCCCCTCCCATTGTAGAATCTTGTAGAAACGAAAGAAACATGTAACTTTGTTCGCTTCAATCATTCTCAATATCCGTTCCCGACTTATCCGGACGAGAAAAATAATTCTACAAGGGATTGATTTCACCCCTCAATGGCGAATTATGGCTAATGGGATGTAGACTGTGGATGTAAGAAATACTTAAAGTAAGATACGAATTATTATATTTACACAAAGTTCCCATTTCACTAATTCTGCAGTCTACTTGTGGCTTACTTGTACGCAAAGTTTCATAATGTTTCCCAAATTTTAGGTTGCGTACATTTCAATCATGAAATAAATCCTTCGACCTGCTACTATATTTGATACGAAGAAATTGCTTCCCAGCTAATAAATGGAAGTGCTTCGTTAAATCGAAGTCGTTAATTAACATCCATTTAGCGCTTTCGTAATGATGTTTTTACCAGCGTCAACGTTTATCGTCGTTTGGCATCCAAAAATGGCCCGCCTCGGACGCGATCGCCCGTGAAATTGCCTCTGCGAATTTGTTTCTGTCGTCTGGCAACGAGTTTTCTTGCATTTCCCCGAATGCGTCCTATTTCCGAAATATGGCGAATTTTCGAAAGTCGTGGGACCACGGCCTGGACGCAATCATTTTCGTTCCCATCAACTTCTTTGCGCTGTTTGCCCGCGGAATCGTTGCGGACTTTCGACCTCCTCCTCCCCAACTCGACGAGAACTTTTCGCGATACCGAGGATCCTCCAAGTTTCCGATGAAAAATTCAACGCGGAGTTTGGGGAGCCACGGAGTCGCGGAAGACGTATTCGACGGTTCTCGTCGAAAGTCCAGGGCTGGTTCTTGTTTATTCGAACGGTTGTAATTAATAACAGGGTCGATTTGTTCGAAACTGTCGTGCACGTAATGATGTGGACGCGAAAGTGGCTGGGTGTATAAAATTGTCGCTTCCTAGAATTCTTTTGTCGCGATCGCGCATGCAATCTGCTGAAACAAAGGCAATCGACCAATCAAATCCGTATTTATAGCTCCGGTGCAAGCCGATAACGAAGCTCGCGTTCCGCTGTTCTTTCACGGGATTTCCACATGTCGGTTCAAGGAATACTATACATTACTGGATTAGCCTTTCGGTTCGACTAATTTATCAGATTTATTACGAGCCTCGTGCACCGACCAACGGAGTTCTCATCCATTTTACAGCGTTCGTCCATCCCAGGATAAAAAAGAAATTTAAAAACATCCTTGAACTCCACACGGTGATGCATCAGCGACAGTGAACAAAATAGAAATTGATACATAAAGGTGATTTCAAAAATCTCAAAATGGAAATTATATTCGGTTATTAGAAAATTAAGAGCACCGTAACGCTATGAAATATAAAAGAAACAAATTGCGTTTTTTTTTTCGAATTTTAAACGATTAAAAAGTGGCGTTATCGCCGGAAAATCGTAATTAGAAAGAATAATCAGCAATCCGCGGGTGGATATCGGCGCGTATTGGCGGGCAACAAGGGAGTCCACGCAATCAACCAATCAGAACCGTATATCCATCGTCGAGGCACGATTATATAATAAAGAGGACAGGGACTTGCTCGCCATACAATTTCTATTACCTATTATCTTGTCAGGGATCAATGAAAAAATTATAGAAAATTGGGCTAATTATCGCAATCGGGTGAAACGATGAAAACGGGGCGCGATGGCGAACGTTAGCGTGTACCGGTTATGTGAAATCACGATGCAATCGGGGGATCGATAATCGTCACGCGGTTGAAGCTCTACATGCTCTCCACGAGCCTAAGAAATGTTTCCCGCGAACACGAAGCAATCGTACAAATGATTTCTATGCACTTTATGGCGAGACCTATCCCGCGCGTTCGTCGCCATTTTTCCACGAATATATTTTACAGATTATCCTTGAAGGTCTAGCGAATGTGCACGAGGCTTTATCGCTGCTATAAAGACAGCAATTGACAGGAATAATTGAACACGGATGGGATGAATCATCTAATAGAAAATAAAATTAAAAAATTGATCGAATTTTTCGTGATTATCTGTAGTCATGGGAACTGAAAGTTATGGGTTGATTAATGCGTGAAATCTAGAGTCCACGAAACGAATCGGAACAACTCTTTTTTCGGGCGAGGAGCATCGATCGAACGTTATCGCGGTCCCAATTGTCCTGACTTCGTGAATGCACCATGTTCGGAGAAACTGCGGTTCGGATGATAATGACGCCACGAAAATCTCAGTTGTGGTTAACGGTAATCGATAGAGTGTAATGAAGTCCCTTCGATAATTTTCCTCGATGAAACCGCAAATTTACTATCCTCGTTGAGGATGTCTGATGAGAAATTGCCCATCGGACAGATATCGCTGCTCGAATATCAAATATTGCAAACAATTGACGATACAAATTATATGGTAGAATTATTTCGTTCTTCTTCTCCAAATTTAATATGATATCAACAAACGATTTAATGTTAGTTTCAATAGGAGAAGAAAAGTAACACTTTATTTGGACTACATAACACGATAACTAGCGATTACGTCAGTCG